AGTGACTGGGAATCAGAGTGGGATGAAGGAGTTCTTAACCCGCCCCCCGGCCTCCCCACCCCAGGACACCTTCGCAAGCTTAGGGCCCGGGAAAGGGCTCACCCTTCACTGAGGTCCGCGCTCCCGCTGCCTGGCGGGCGCCGGTGCGGGCTCTCAGTACCGGCTCACCCGGAGGGTCCCGGCTGCTGGGAGTTGGATGGGGCAGGGTGCGCTCAGTGGAGTGACTATGCCAACCATTAGCTCACGTACTACTCTCAACAATTTTTAAGATATTGATATTTCCCTTTCAGGGATGAGAAGACCATCGAGACTCAAGAACGTGAAGGTCACACATGCAGTCACCCCAGGTAGCACCCCGTCCCCCCCAGGCCCAGCAGGACTCGGGTCAGAGAGAGGCACTGCTGTTTGCTCCTCCAAAGACAGGCAGCCTGGTGGGGGAACCCAGAGCAGAAGGTTTGGGGCGATCCCCAGAAATCTTTGCCTTTCAGTGCCTCCCACTAAGCAGGAATCCAGGCCTCTCTCGCCCCAACACCTCCCGGGGGGAAGTCCTGGACTTTCAGGGAGCATGGAGATGCTCATGGCAGGAGTGCGAGGCCAGCAATAGGTTATGTTTGTACAACTTTATTATCGTTCAGCCTTGAAGTCCAGCAACAAGCCCTGGAGGTGGGTAGGTAACAACAGCAACATGAAGGAAGGACAGGAAGTGACTTTTATTGCAGTTCACTGTGTGCTAGACTCTGCCTGGTACACTCTGCGTGGCTTATCTCATCGGACAGCCCTGAGGGCCAAGATGCTATTCTTTATTCCCATTTCACAGAAGAGGTCACAGAGGCACAGAAAGGTTAGGTCACTTGCCCACGTTCACCCCTGCCTGACTTTTTTGGGTGGGGGCAGGGTAATAAGGTGTAACTTCCATAGGGTAAAAGTCACCCTTTGTGGGGTACAGTTAGTTCTACGAGTTTTGAAAAACGACTGCAGACATGTAATTACCACTAGAAAGTAGAGGGGTCTATCACTTCCCCAAACAGGCCTGAGTCCTACCCTCCACCGTCTCGAAGGCCCCGCACGCTGGCTATATTTTTACAGATGACAAAGTGGAGGTCCTGAGAGGTTGCCATGTTGCCCCAGATCACTTGGTCGGTTGTTAAGTGCCAGATCTAAGATGAGAACCTTCATTATGTGCCTGCTAGTCTGGCTGCCTGCAGAGTGTAGATTCTTGAGTCTACAGAGCCCAACCCTGGGCTTGGGATGTGGGGAAGGGGAGCCCCTTGCTCCATTAGGAGCCTCAGAAATCCCCCTCTCCCGCTACATGCTGCCTGTACAAGCGCTCACCTTTCTAGGGCAGCTGAGGAACAAAGAGGGGCTGGATTCCGCGAGGCTAAGCCACCAGCAATGTGAACGCAGCTGCGCTGTCCAAGGACTGGAGGCCAGAGGAGGCCAGAGTGTCCTGGGCCCTGGCTGCCTTCCACCCGGGTTAAGGAGTTACTCTCCTACTTTCCTAGTTAATTCCCGCACCCCGCCCCCCCCACGCCTGACACCTTGTAGGAGCCTCGGAGTGGGGGCTGCACAAACCTTCCCAAGCGTCTCAAGGCTGGGCGCATGAATTAGCATAGATTACCCAGCTTCCAGGGCTTCCCAGGGCCCCTGACTCCCTGGAAACCCGCTTCCCCCTCATGGGGGACCAGGCGAGGCTTGGGGCCAGTGATGAGGGAGGCAGAGGAACTGGCAAGTCCTGGTCCTGCCAGGAGGGCGGGCACTGGAGCCCACAGCTGCCACACCCATGCCCACCTGCCTGACACCTAGAGTCCCTGGGGCAAACCTGACCCCTCAGGCAGGTTTTGTGAGGCCCCGTCAGCGGTCAGCGGGCGGTCAGCAGAGGATGTTGCTAGCAGAGACCTGCTGTGAGCTGCCTGGGCCCTCTGCCCCTGGAGGGAGAGGCTGAGGAGTCTGGGCTCCAAAGGGACTCCAGGCACATTCTGGTCAAAGAGGGCTAAGGGCTTAAGGGGGTGCCCACTACACCTTAGAGCTCAGCCTGAGAGTTTTCAAAGAGGGGAGACACCCTTAGGGACCACACACTGTGGAGACACTGAACGATGCCCTCAGGTCATCTGCTCTTCTATCCCCACCAAGGTCACCATCACTAACTGCACGATGGATGGTCACTGCCGGCCCTGCAGCCGGGGGGTGGCTTTTAGTGCCCCCCGTTTTCAACGGGGAACCTAAGGCCCAGTTCGGAGGGCCTTAGGGTGAGCCTGACCCTCTGGCCTTCCTGGAGAGCCATCCACGGAGAAGGAGAAGGGGGCTCTCTCGCTTTCACCCCAGGATCCTACAGCCTGCCTACGCTGCGTGTTTCTTCCTGGCATTGGAAATGGAGGGCTGACCTCCACCTCCACTCCAGGCTGGCCGGCCAGCTGAAAGACCTCCACCTTTTCAAGTAGCTGAGGGATCTCCGCAGGCCTGGCCTGGCGGGGTGTCTTTCCCTACAGCCTAGTGGAAGGAGGGGGGTTCTGAGCTAGAGAAGATATTTTTGGAGGGTGGTGGTACAGGCCCCAGAGAGGTATATCTTTAAGAGCACTGCACCCCAAGAGGTTGGGTCGAACATCCGACAGACATCCTTGGGGGGCGGGGGAGGATGGGGCTGAGAGGTCTGCAAAGCAAGGCCGTGAGTACCCCATAAGGATGAAAACCCAGCCAGGACCCCTTCCCAGAGCTGGTGTCAGAGGTCTGCAGCCTGAGGCAGGGCAGGGTTCTTGTGTGAGGGCAAAGCTGAAACCCACACCTGTCTGGTGTGCGAATGTGTGCGCCTGTGAATTTCCCAGGGAAGGCAGGAGGAGGGGAGGGGCAGCACACGGCCTCTGTTCCCCCTCACTAAGGTCAGGCGCCTAGACAATCCCAGAAAGCGCCCTCCTAACGCCTCTCTTGCCTGGAGAGTTTTCTGAAAGGGTTTTTGGATTCCCTCACCCCCACAAGCCATGCCTGTAATTAAGGAGTGGAGAAATGGACACGAACACAAGTACACAGCAGGTAAAACCAGAGAAGGACCAGGGAGACCCGGGTGGGGAGGGAGGCAGCTGGGGAAGTGAGAGCCAGGCCTAAGAACTGGGCCCCTCCAAGGATCAATCTGGTGGCGGTGCTGCCTCCATCACAGGGCTCCGCTCTTCTCTCCCCCCACCCCCTTCCCAATCGAGTTTTTCTGGGTCTCAAGGCAACCTAGTCACCAAACACAGGCATTTCTTCATTCTTAACAGCAATGACATGGGCTTCCAAGTCATGATTTAAAGGATGCCAGATTTCTTTTTATCATTAATTGTAAAAGTGCAAAATACCTGCTGGTACTTCATTTTTTGAAGAATGTAATTGGCAAAAAGAAGAAAAAAAAAGAGGAAAAAAAGAGGCGGCTGATGAATAGATAATAGATCTTTAACCACCAATAAACAGAGAGCAGCGCCAGCAGCCTGGGGGATGTGATCATAATTATGCCACTGCGCGAGCCAATGGGGATGAGGGAACGCGGCCCTAAAATCATCCCAAAACCGAAGGCGAGCTCGAAAATGCGGACACGGCCTGGAACCGGAGATGCGACCTGCAGTCCCTCGCTGTGAGCCCTAGGTTTGCACAGCAACCCGCCCCCGGGACAACAGATGGCAAAATAATAATAGAAATAATAACAACAACGGCGACAACAATAATTATAACACTAACAAAATAATAACGACAACGGAACGGTAACAGTAGCACCTCACAGCCTCTCCCCCTGACCTTGGAGCCTTGGTCCCAGATACCACGGAAGAAACTGTTGTGGGGAAGGAGGTGAGCACCGTCCCAGAGACAGTGAGCCTTGGGGGCGAATAGGAAGCCCGCTGCCCCGGCAGAGCCGTGGACTCCGTCTTAACTTGTAAACAGGAAAGCAAACAGGATCGCAAACGCAGCGACCCCGAGACCCCGAGGCTGCGCGAGGACCCCCACGCCCCGGTTCCCTCCTCACCTAGGAAATGTTGCCGTGGGTGCGGGTTGAAATGACCAAACGGTTCTGGTAGCTCTCGCGCAGAGCCAATCCCCGCCCGCCCGCTTACCCTCGCGGTGCTCCCGGGGCGATCCCAGCTCCCCTGACGTGGGGCCGCGGGGGCAGCAGCAGCAGC